TACATTAAAGGACGATTTACTGTATTTTACACAAGGAGGATATATTAGCCATGGACCTAATCAGCCTCAGACAATGGGAAGCCCCTTCAAGACCCTGCAGCTAAACCCTTCAGGCCTGCTAGAAGTCACAATCCAGACACGAATGTCAGCAATAGGGGTGATCTAGTACGAAGGAAGCCACAGGAATTCGATGGGAAGGCACCATGGGAAGCATATAGAGCACAATTTGAGCTCCTGGCAGAAATGAATGGGTGGACAGGGGAGCAGAAAGCAGTATATCTGGCAACGAGCTTGAAGGGACAACCACTGGAAATACTTGGACATTTGTCAGCAGATGACAGGCACAACTATAAAGCAATGGTAGCTGCTCTAGAGCTCAGGTATGGAACCCAAAATCAGTCCGAAGTCTACAGGGCTAGGTTTAGGACTAGAGTCCGTGCTAAAGGGGAGAGCCTGCAAGAGCTGGCACAAGACTTGGAAAGTTTGTCACACAAGGCCTACCCAACTGCACCACCTGATCTCTTCAAGTTGTTGCTGAGGGATCAGTTTGTAGATGCCTTGGACAGTTCACAACTGAAGATAGAAGTGAAGCAAGCAGGATGCAATGGCCAGAGCTCTTGAATTCGAATCCTATGTTAAGTCCAGCACAGAGGTATCAAGGTTGGTACAGTCATCAGGATTCAAGGTCAGCTTTTAGAGAGGTTTGAGGGACTTTGCTGGCACTGTAATAAACCTGGGCACAAGAGAGCTCAATGCTGGCAACTTCCACACAGGGAAGATGCCATGGCAGGAAAGGCCGCTACCCAGAAAGGTTGTTGGAACTGTGGAGAGCAAGGACATATGAGGAGCCAGTGATGGCAAGAATATAGTTGCAGATAGAGAAATTAAAGATATAGACACGTATAATCGAGTCAAGCGAGCACTGTATGTAAAGTGTGTGAATCTTTGTGAATTATTCAGTTTGGTACTATATCTTGGCAGAGTAAGTCTGGAACAAACACAGAGAGAGAGAAACAGTTGTAAGTCCAGCTCTCCAGTAAAGCTAACTATCCACTGTGGCAAGTCAAATAATATAAACTGTATTTGTGATCTTAATAAGAATATATCTCTTTGTGATCTTACATTTGTGTCTAGTCTCTTTATTTCTTGTGAACTCAGCTGTAGAATACACAAATCTTCATGATAAATATATTAATGAATCTCCTGTTATTCTACAGATCTATATTGTCACTCTTTAGGGAAATTGGTGTCACCTGAGAATACCACAAAGTAGCTAGGCATAGTGTCACAGAATGCTTTACTTTGGTAACTAAGAATTGTTGAAATTAAACCGCCCCAGTTGTAATTTATTTAATAATGGTGAAAATTACTCTAAAACACAATAAAGTTTGTTTTTACTTCATGCCTAAAACAAATACTAGGAAAAAATTAAAAATCACAGACATACAGAATAAAACTATACTTTATTCTACTAATGAAGCCTGAATTAATAATTTAAAAAACACAACAACACTAATTAGTCATTTTAAAACATTTAAAAAAGCATCACTCACTCTACACAAACTGAAAACTTGTAACAACACTGTACATTTCAAAGTAACAACTGTTGAAACAAAAAGCAGTTTTATAACACTTAATATGTCATTGAACAGTTCATGGTGTGGTACGTTAACAATAGGTTGTGTGAAATGTACACTATATTAAACACTTCACACTTTGATACCTTAACAATTTACTGTGTGAACTGTCTGGCTATAATAGCTAGTGTACACTATATTAAACACTTCACACTTTGTTACCTTAACAATTTACTGTGTGAACTGTCTGGCTATAATAGCTAGTGTACACTATATTAGATACTTCAAAATGCAATACCTTAACAATGTCTGGCTATAATGGCCAGTGTACACTATATTAAACACTATATAGTGTGGTACCTTAGCAATGGGATTTGTGAATTTTCTAGCTGTACTAGCCAGTGTACACTATATTAAACACTTCACAGTTTGATACCTTAACAATGGACTGTGTGAAATGTCTGGCTGTAATACACGGTGTTCCACAAAACTTTACTCTTAGATTTTTGTTTGGATCAGAAAAGGGTCTTAGAATGAATTTAACAAAGTTTTAAATTTAACAAACATTATATATATTAATCTCTCAAGTTAAACATATATTTGTATGATGATGTTTTAACTAGTGGTAGTGAGGTACAGGTTTTTAAATAAGAGATAAGAAGGATAAACAACTTGTAACATGTTATAGAAGGTATATATAACAATTTAGAATGGCCACTTATCTTTTTCTATATAACAAGAATGAATTTAATGATGGTGTGTGTGAGTGACTATAGTTCAAAGATAAATAATAATAACAAAATGCCACAGTCAGTAATCATTTGACCTTCTTAAAAAAACTTATGTGTGGTAACAATGAGTTTCTGCTTTTCACATGGAATAATCATGTATTATTGATCAAAACATGCAATTTATTTAATCAAGGAATTTGAAATACTGAAGCATAAACAACATTTCGGAGACATCATGAGAAAGAATGCTCACATATACTTAACTGAAACTTGTAGAAAAATAGGACATTATAGAATTTATGAACCATAACTATAAACAGAATAATTATTTTCTGGTTTAAGATTATAGTTGACACTAGCTTTTAATAACATGTTTTTACTTTCTAGGGAGCAGAGAAAATGTTTCTTTCCTCATCTGTATCCACCAAGTTGAACATAACAATTAATTAATAGGGGTGTCACAAAATACAATATTATATATTTATACTGAAACTGGTTAAAACAAATTCTGGTATTAAACAAAACCACCAAAGTTTTTCTTTCAAGTTTTAGTGAAAAAATATTAAATACTTTATTAATCTTGGGTGTGAATTTAAATTGATGATCACTCCAAAGAAATTACTCTTATGTAAACTTGTTTCAATAAATATGACAACATTCACTTTCTATGTATACAAATATATATTTCTTAATATATTCACCTTCCAAAACATTATGAGCTATAAATATATTTATATAAAACATTTCCTTTCCTTTCAAGTCACAACCTTATTCCTGTTACTTCTTGATTTGCTAAATGAAATCTCACAAATATCTCTGGTTACTGCTATTATAATGTAGATGGAGCCTTTCAATAAACAGAATTAACTAAGAAACATCTGCTCTGCACACGAAACAATTTAATAAATCTAACCAAAAATACTACTTAAAAACTCTTGCAGTTATTATTCTTTTTTCTTGAATAGAGACACAAAATGTATTCAAGTATTACATCATTTAAAAGAACAAGTCCATTTTGTGCTCACTTAAAAATGTAGTATATAAATATATTGATTTCTAACTAAAAACATTCTTTATACAAAGTTAACTAAATTTAATGCAACTTTAGTTTATATTTAAGTTTAAGTCATAAATCAAAACACAAGTGTTTTCTATAAAGTTGTATCTCTTGCATTTAAAAAAATAATAATATTGCACATGTAGTAACTCGCTTTAATAATGTTGAGTTTCTCCTGCAAGTTACATGCACACTACGTCATTGAACTAGAATATTCAAAGAATGAAATATATGTAAAATATATTTATTTGAATAAAATATAAAATTTCATGTAAAGATTTCCAAGAAATTTTTTAGTACTGGCTATAATGCAATTTTTGAAACAGAAGAACTGCAATTATAAAAGTCCATAAATTGACCAAAAAATTAAATAATATATATATATATATAAGGTCCCAAAACAAACAACAATGAACACATTTAAGTTGACAAGCTGAAGGTGCTAAGATGTTAGCAATATATTACAGTTCAAATTAAACTAAATACCTCAATCTTATAAGATATGAAGTGTGTAATCCAAGTACCATTTCACTAGATAATTTATGTATGAATATTCACAATGTGCTTACACATCTGTTTATGTATGAATATTCACAATGTGCTTATGCACCTGTTTCTGTACAAATATTCATAATGTGCTTACACATGTTTATGTATGAATATTCATAATGTGCTTACACATGTTTATGTATGAATATTCATAATGTGCTTACACATGTTTATGTACGAATATTCACAATGCACTTACACATCTGTTTATGTACGAATATTCACAATGTGCTTACACATCTGTTTATGTACGAATATTCACAATGTGCTTACACATCTGTTTATGTACGAATATTCACAATGTGCTTACACATCTGTTTATGTACGAATATTCACAATGTGCTTACACATGTTTATGCATGAATATTCACAATGTGCTTACGCATCTGTTTATGTATGAATATTCACAATGTGCTTATGCATCTGTTTATGTACGAATATTCCCAATGTGCTTATACATCTGTTTATGTACGAATATTCACAATGTGCTTACACATCTGTTTATGTACGAATATTCACAATGTGCTTACACATCTGTTTATGTAAGAATATTCACAATGTGCTTACAAATCTGTTTATGTATGAATATTCACAATGTGCTTACACATCTGTTTATGTACGAATATTCACAATATGCTTACACATCTGTTTATGTATGAATATTCACAATGTACTTACACATCTGTTATGATCATCATTGTTACTGAGATTCAGAATAATTCTTCTCAAGTTACGAGTATTACAGTTTCATGCAATGCACATTTCACATTATTTTCATTTAAGTATTTTAGTCCTGTTTTTACCCAAGAAACTCCACATTTGCTAATCATAAAAACTAATAAAAAGGGGAAAAATAAGATGTATTTCACACACATGATAATGATGATGAAAGTTTCCTGCTATTTTCTCCAATAGGAGCTAAGTGAACAAGTAACTAATGCAAAAAGTACAGACAGCTAACAGTAAAATTAACAATACCCCTTCCTCCTTTCAATCTTTGTATATTACATTATACTTACATCCAGTAGAGTAGTGACTAATGAAAAACATCCAGTGGGACAGCAACTAATAAAAATTATTGCCAATAATAACAGGGAAGAGAAAGACAAGAAGGCTTGTAGCTAGAAATCATTAGCATTAAAAATAGCTAGGCAAAGCCAGTCTATGCTGACTAAAAATATAAAATTAATTGAAAACCTTCCCACATGGATGAGTTATGGAAAAACAACCCACAAAAATGACAGCTTCTTATAGTTCCTTAAACAGTATTATTAGTTAATCAGTATTAACAGTTTCATTTTGAGTTTACTTACTCATTCACTTCAGGTTTTTTTTGTTCGGCCACAAATAAATAATCTGTCAATTCATGCTGATTGATATGTATACTATGAATTCTAGAATTTAAATACATTGTTAGACTGTTAAATGTTGGTTTAAATACTAAAACATTCTTTACCGTTAAAACTTGTGTACTTGAGAATGATCACATAGTTAAGTGATCGAAACATCGTAACTGCTTTAAACATATTCTTCCATATTGTAAAAGCTGTAACTCGTAATCAAATAAGAATCATCATTATTCACTTTGGACAACAAATTGTAGTGGGAAATAAATATCTATTATTAAACTAATTTAAATTTAGATAAAATGTTTCGATTGCTAGTGCAATATTTTCAAGTACAAGACAATGCACTTTTATGTATTTGACAAACATCATACTAATGATTGAAATGTATTTGATAATTCAAGTTGATTAACGAATATTGGTTTTGTTTGTAATTTGTACATAAACTCTCTGCTATCCAATAGAATACCAGCAAATATGATGTACATATGACAAATCTAGCCTCTCAAAGCAACTGTGATAGTGTTGATGTTCAGTCACTGATTTTTTTACATTGGATTCAGTAACCTACTAATTATTTAGAACAATATTATTATATTCAGCATTTAGCTTGAACTACCTTTGTAACAAAAAGTATGAAGTTTGGTGTTTACTAAAAAAATAAAACTTCAACGTATTGGCTGAATCATTATTTTTAAACCAAACAAAAATGAATCTAAGATATCATCAATTCATATTACAATAAATATACTGTACTTAATAGTTGTAAAAGTACTAAGTATGTCTTCAATGGATGTGTTGACTAGATGTCAAGCTATGGTCAGGAGCCATAACCATGACAACGGCTGTAAAAGTACTAAGTATGTCTTCAATGGATGTGTTGACTAGATGTCAAGCTATGGTCAGGAGCCATAACCATGACAACGGCTGTAAAAGTACTAAGTATGTCTTCAATGGATGTGTTGACTGGATGTCAAGCTATGGTTAGTAGCCATAACCATGACAACGGCTGTAAAAGTACTAAGTATGTCTTCAATGGATGTGTTGACTGGATGTCAAGTTATGGTTAATAGCCATAACCATGATAATGACTGTAAAAGTACTAAGTACGTCTTCAATAGATGTGTTGACTGGATGTCAAGCTATGGTTAGTAACCATAACCATGATAATGACTGTAAAAGCACCAAGTACTTGTATTATGAATGCGTTGACTGGATGTAAAGCTATGATTAGTAGCCATAACCATGACAATGGCCGTAAAAGCACTAAGTACGTTTACTATGGATGTGTTGACTGGATGTCAAGCTATGTAGCCTTAACCATGACAATGGCTGTAAAAGCACATATACACTTTTGTTTATGAAGTTTGAAGAAATAAACAATGTGTAATGCCACATCACAAGATTGCTTGTAACAGGATAAACTACAACACTGTGAGATGGTAAGACAGTGCTATAAATGTCAGTAAAACAGCAGATATTTTTATCACAAGTTTCATAGTGTTATAATGCTTAATGATAACAATAATACAATTTATTTTATATAATACTGGTTCAGAGAACCAGTCAATTTTATGTGTTTAACTTTCAATGTTTTAGCATTATATAAATGTGTAGTACAATAAAACAGGAGAGAACTAGGTAATATGATATTTTAATTTTATCACTTATTACTGCCTTTTTGTTAAGGATATAATTTAAATTGTAAATAGTGAAACTTAAAATATGTTTTAAAATGTTCCACTTTCTTTCGGTAATTAACCTATGCCACCAGACTCTAAGGGTATAATGCTACATTTGGAAGTATATTGAACCTTCTAGGCAAGGCAGTGTAATAAAATACATTCTCAGCTGACTGTAACAGGATTTAAATTTTTCTTGCAACTTATAACAAAGTATTAAACATCACTGTAGTATAAAACTGTGATGTTTCATCAAACTCTGAAAGTTTCAAACTATGTTAGATTATGCAATATAAAAGTTTCAAGCTTTTAATATATTTAGTGAGAGTTTCAACTAGTAACAGAACTATGACTGTGGGTGCTATATTCATTTAATTGTAGTTAAGTGTAAACTACACAATGGGCTAACTGTGCTGTGCCACCCACGGGTATCAAAACTTGGTTTCTAGCATTAAAAGCCTTTAGAGTTCCCACTGAGCCACTAGGGGCTACTTCAGGTGCAATAACCAAGCTGCCTGAGGAGATCTGATTTATAACAGTTCTCAACAATAAGTGATGGTACTTATTACCTACACTGGTACATAGTCCAACTGTTAAGTACATAACAACTCTCAATAAGAAGCAGTGGTACTGCCTACATTCACAGGTTGGTAAATAATCCAGCTTATAGCTGTTATATTCATAACAACTCTCAGTGAGATGCAGCGACGGTACTGCCTACATTCGCAGACTGGTAAATAATCTAGCTTCTAACTGTTACGTTCATAACAACTCTCAATAAAAAGCAATGGTACGGACTACATTCACAAGTAGGTAAATAATCCAGCTCATAACTGTTACGTTCACAACAACTCAGTGAGATGCAGCAATGGTACTGCCTACATTCACAGATTGGTAAATAATCCAGCTCATAACTGTTATGTTCATAACAACTCAGTGAGATGCAGCAATGGTACTGCCTACATTCACAAGTTGGTAAATAATCCGGCTCATAACTGTTACGTTCATAAGAACTCTGTGAGATGCAGTGATGGTACTGCCTGCATTCACAGGTTGGTAAATAATCTAGCTCATAACTGTTACATTCATAAGAACTCTCAGTGAGATGCAGTGATGGTACTGCCTACATTCACAGGTTGGTAAATAATCCAGCTCATAACTGTTACGTTCATAACAACTCTCAGTGATATGCAGCGACGGTACTGCCTACATTCACAAGTTGGTAAATAATCCAGCTCATAACTGTTATGTTCATAACAACTCTCAGTGATATGCAGCAATGGTACTGCCTACATTCACAAGTTGGTAAATAATCCAGCTCATAACTGTTACGTTCATAACAACTCTCAGTGATATGCAGCAATGGTACTGCCTACATTCACAGGTTGGTAAATAATCTAGCTCATAACTATTACGTTCATAACAACTCTCAGTGAGATGCAGCGACAGTACTGCCTACAGTCACAGGTTGGTAAATAATCTAGCTCATAACTGTTACGTTCAAACAACTCTCAGTGATATGCAGCAATGGTACTGCCTACATCCACAGGTTGGTAAATAATCCAGCTCATAACTGTTATGTTCATACAACTCTCAGAGAGATATGGCGACGGTACTGCCTACATTTGCAGGTTGGTAAATAATCTAGCTTCTAACTGTTACGTTCATAACAACTCTCAATAAGAAGCAATGGTACTGCCTACATTCACAGCTTGTTTCTAAATGTTGTCTGTAATGTTGAAAGTTAACTAAGTTGGTATCTAAAGTAACACTGTGATTTTCAGTAACTTTATTTCATTTGTTAGACACTTGTGGTGTACAACAAGCTATTCTTTAAGAATCATTAAGTAGAAACTTTCTAAAAGTTAAGTTGAATGATAATTTCAAGTTACATGTTTCATGTTATTGTGCTTGGAAACATCAGTATCTTACAAAAGCATCATAGAGGATTTCTGTATTTTCACTAAATCACTATAAAATGTAAAAATATTTCAAAATTTTTCACATTCAGAAGAAAAAAAGTGTGTAAAAAATCTTTTCGCGTTAGGAGATGGCAGTATACTTGTAAACAAGAAAAAATCTTAAGATCAGAAATATTTCTGGTATAAAAAAGTAAAAAAATGAGGTATGATCACATACACTATCTTTCAAAAGTTCATCCTCACCATCACACTAAGTGAATTCCTGAATCTTCAAGATTTCTTAGCCAATCAACTATAAACATACCTAAGTTTCAATAACTAGATCTTTAAAGTTGATATACATAATTTGTAGGTTTTGATATTACACTAACAATAATTTTTAAAGTTACATAAAGCCATTGATACTTTATATACCTTTGAAATAGGTACACTTTTATGTAAAATATATCGAGTTTTAGTGAAATCTTAAGAAAATCAGAATATAAAGACACACAAAAAACGTTTTATCAATATCAACTCAGAGATAATCTATAATATTCTTTACAGCATGATACTTTTATCTTTCTTTTATATCAATGAATAAATAAGCATTACTAGAATACTTTTGTAAACCATAATAACTTGAACAGTAAGCTTTTCTGGTTTGTTGATAGAAACACTGTCATTCAGCAGTTTACTGAGTAACTGTAATGCTCATTCACAGCTGATACTTTGTTATTTTTAATATACCAACATCTCTCACAGAGAAAAACTTCCAAAATGGTGCACACACAAAATATTTTAAATAAAAACAGTTTTCAGAAAAAAAAAAAAATTGCTTCAAAGAAAAAAAAAGAAGCATTTAAGTTATAACAACTAAGTAAATTCAAAAACATGTAAATTGAATAAGGAAGGGTTATATATGTCATATATCCAAACAGTTAATATTAATCCATTTCAGCAGTGAAAACAGAATTTTCTTAAGTTGTTACAGCTTACTTTGGAGTTCCTTCAATTTCACATCCAATGTACTACTATGTGTGATAAGGAACAACATAGGTTGCAGGGAAAAACCCTCTCTTGGACCCAATCTCCCCCTCCCACCAGTTGCAATCTGAATGTTCAATAACTGTGATAATGTCACCCCGTCTAAATTCTAGTTCACCTGATTCCTGGGCTTGGAAGTCATATAGAGCCTGCACCAAAAACTGCAGAAGAACAGAATAAATTAAGTAAAATGAAATATTGATAATTCCATAACAGATACTATGTCCTGATTTGTACAAGTCACTTCAAGATGTTGTAACAATACAATATTTAATGATTTCAAGAATACATTCAAAATTTTGTTTTTCAATAAAAATTAAAATATTAAATGTAGATTCAGATGTTTGTTAGCACAATACCAGTTCTTAATAATAATATTACTATGTAATAAAGACAGGAACACAATTTTCCTAACAAACATGACTTTCGCCAACTTGTCATTATATCCACAGGTGTATATTGTACAGGCTGCTAACTTAATTCACCATTATAACAAACACAAATATTTATTAATGAAAAAGAATAATTGTCTAAATGTACAAAATTTCAATATTCACACAGATGTATTAAAGAAATAAAATTAACATTTAATGAGGACAGTCTCATTTTAAACATTTATTTTGTATTATTAAACGGTGACTTTATTTCTTTAATACATCTGTGTGAAAACTTACACAAGTGTCGTCCTCATCTTAATTCAAAATTTTCTTCACATCATATTTCTAACTAAACATTTCATCTTTACCTCAAGCTACAGATGATAAACATGTTTCAACACGTCCTTGTAAACACAGAGGTAACTAACTTATGAAGGTAACTAAAGTTTTCTGGATGTAATTACAATGTATAATAATTACACAAACTGCATATCATAATGAACTTTAGAGTAGTTTTGTCACACAGTATCAAATGTAATAACTGAAGCTGTATTATAGAACTTTTAAAGTCACAGGATATAGTGTAGTTTTAAAACTTAATAAGTTATTCATTTGTTTCACATCTAGTTGTAACATCACTTCTAACAGTTTGAAAAAAAACCAAAACGAAGCTAAAGTACCAAAAAACACTTATTATGAATAAAAACTAAAATGCTGAATATAACAGCAAAGAGAAGTCAGTTTTATATTTCTCTAGCCTTGTATCCCATGTTTAATTATTGAAACACAATTCAGTTTTACGTTTCTCTAACCTTGTATCCTATGTTTAATTATTGAAACACAATTCAGTTTTAAATTGTTCTAGTATTGTATCCTATATTTAATTATTGAAACACAATTCAGTTTTAAATTTCTCTAGCCTTGTATCCTATGTTTAATTATTGAAACACAATTCAGTTTTCTATTTCTCTAGCCTTGTATCCTAAGTTTAATTATTGAAACACAATTCAGTTTTATATTTCTTTAGCCTTGTATCCTATCTTTAATTATTGAAACACAATTCAGTTTTATATTTCTTTAGCCTTGTATCCTATCT